GAGTCATTAAGAGCAATGATTACGATCCGAAAAGACGCAATCCACATACATTTGGTATCGAACATCATTTTGCCGATCAGACCAGAACAATGTGATTCTTTTTTATTTAACTCTCTTTCACTCAATTCTATCGTCAATTTCTATTTCTAAGTTTTAATTAACTGGCGATAAATTTTGTATAAATTTAAATAAATGGTCATTTGTTTGCGTTTAGCACACACAGTGCACACAATCTAATTCGAATCTTGATGTGGCCGGGGCATCGATGAATCTTAGAATTGTTTTCAGGAAATATGAGAAGATCGCAAAGCATTTCAAAATTATCGTCAAATAAACGTGCGCTCTATAATTTTCTATTTGGTTAAATTCTTTATCATCCATTTCCTTTGTGCTTGCGCACGCTTGACGGCCAAATGCTGAAGTGAATTTTGAGTTTTTTGTTCGTTTACACCGAATCACGTAATGAACCAACAGTATGTCCGTCACTTTGGTGAAATAACAAAAAGATTAATAGAGTTTTAATGTAAATTAATTTTAAACAAAATTACACAGCAAACGATCTGACTATCACATTCTGCTGCTCTGCTCAGTTGCCACATACACATCGACGTAGCTATGGTTCACAATGAAACGAAAGCGCGCGAGTTTGACCACAGCATTGCTACTCTTCCGTAAACGATAATACAACATTCTCGTATTTTTCCTCTTCGTGCGCACAACCAGCATTCGTTCGTTAAATATTCTTAATTTTACACACAAAGTTTACACACCAGCGCGCAATAATTATAATTTTTATTGTATCAATTCTGACCAGAGCGATGTAGAGAGAGCGAGTTGCTTAGAAGATTTAAATGTGCGTTTATTCTGGTTATTCTTTTGTTTCTTCATTCGGTTTTCTTCGGGTTCTTGTTACTTCGGTGAAGTGAGCCTCTTCCAGCTTAGTCAATCACACGCTATTGTTTAGCAATCTTCATTCTTTTGTGAAAACAACAAAAAAAGAACACACCGAAGACGCGAGAAATATGCAGATCAAACGTGCGCATCGTGTACTTTGAATGCGCACATAAACCAATAATAAATTTACACTGTCTTTGTCAGGTTTGGCTTTCACCCCCCGTTTTAATTTGAATGAACATTTCCAACGGCAGATTTACATTATCTTAAACGAAAATCATTTCGTTTCGATTCGACCATTGCATACTCTCTTTCTGGTGGAATGAAGGAAGAACGGAATTGGGAAAAAGTCAGTCAATTGAATCGGATATTTTAGAGTCGGTCGTTTTAGCAGCATTTTGTTTGAAATGCACTCAAACTTACTCCGAGTTAAAAGCGCATCAATTAGAATATGAAATTAGATCATTTTGTTCGTACGTTTCTTGCATGGTTTTTTTTAAATTTCTGTTTTTGTTACGTTCTATGTTTTATTCTTGGTGCATTCCAACGGTTGGCTCGAGCAAGAAAACAGAAAAATCGAAAACAATAAGCAAACGAATAAACAGAGAATGAAAAACGAAATCATTAAAGATGAAAAACTGTTTTGTACCGAGTTAATTGCGTCGACGGTGGAAAAACGGTGCCTTTTCTATTTCGCCCACTGCGTACTGAACCAAAAAAACATGCATAAGGTTGTGCACATACTGTAGTATTTTCGCAAATATATGTACGTGTCCATAGGCATTTATTGGTCTATTCACTTGGTTGGCGATGTTGAGTTTCCGCCAACATAATCAATCCAAGAATTAAAAAAAAAGGTGGATTTTTCTTTCTTATCGTTGATGAATTTTAAATTTTTGGCTTGCGAAAAAATAAAATATGCTCTAACCATAACGAGGAGCCGACATTTTTCCCATTCGTATGGCAAACCAAAATTTACATTAAATTACCTCAAGCGTCGATCAAATCAAATTTACACGTTTTACCCCGCAAATGAATATTCCCATTTGTCTAGTTTCGTTTGGTGTATCGAGAGAGAAAAAAACGAACCCTCCACGATTCGGCCATGGTCAGTTTGTGATGCAGTTACGAATGCAAACAAACGACCAGGTTCCGATGTATTTCTAGATCACAAGCATAGATTACAAAAATAAACACGCAAATGAACACCACCACCACTGCCACAAATGCTAAACTCTTGGTGCAAAGAACTGAATGCATCGAACACGAACAAACAAACAAAGTAACAGCGATCAATGTACGCATAACCTACGGAAAATCCATCTGTTCAACAATGTAAAAAAATCGAGAAGAAAAAACACTGCGGCAAATATAATAATTTCTCGTCGTTTGTTTTTTTTTCGTCGACGCATATCAGTGACTCTTTGGAAAAGAAATCTACGAATAATTAAATGCGTTTATTAGTCTCAAATTTATTTCGTTTGTTCATTGGTAAAGCGCAGCATTTTGTGAAAATGGTGACGCTGTGCGCGCACATAACATGAATAAGCCAATTGCCGTGGGAAATTGTGTGTGGAAGAACATAACAAAAAAAACAACTGCATATGAACAAACCCAAGTCAACGTTGTTGCTGCTGCCACAACATAATTGCTCCACTTCAAATGTTTTATGTAAAAAACGAGAGATTTCAAGCGAGTGATAACATGCCAACAATTTTTTGGATAATTGTTCATTTGAAATTACGAACTAGATCGCGATGATAGCAAACAAATGAAATGAGACTTTTGTGCGGACTGATTAAACAGATTTCAATGTAAACCGTTTCAAAATTTAATTTTCAATTGTGGCTTTCACAAAGAGAGCAAAATCCACTTGACACCATTCATCAATGAACTGTTACCAGCATTGGTGGCCATTCAACTTCCTAAAAACATCAATTCACTTTACACCGAATATCATTATTTGGAGCATAAATTGTCGATTAAGTTAATTGTGATACGCCGACACCAAAAATACTTTTGAAGTAAAAAAAAACTGCAACAATTATCATTTTCATTATGATAATTTGTGTACGAAATATTATAATAGATCTGGGTATCGCTTTAATGATTTTACACAATGGAAATGCCGTAAAATTACACAGAAAATAATTGAGATTATCGATTGAGATTTATTGAGAGGTTCGATTCGGTTTTTTCCGCATTTTTCTATTCGATCGATGGAAAAATGCCACTTCATTTACTCCGAAAAATGGCAATTTACACAGTGTTTGGTTCATGAGCAGTTTTTTCTTGTCTTCTATCTTGTTTCAGCTAACATTTGATTTGATTATTAAACTGTGAATTTTCCGGTGAATGATCACGAGCGAATTGACCAAATTCATGGAAAAATGAAAGTTTATGCTTTGTCACAATTCCGTTTAAATATGATGATGAAACATTTTACAAGAATTTAGTGTCTTTCAACTTTAAAGCGAATTTTTTCCGCAAGAATTTCATCTTTAAACTGTGCGCGTCAAAAGAAATAGACAATGCGACCACAATATGGCATTCCATTGAAGGAATTCTCAATGAGAATTATGTGCATTTGAGAAGAACAATAGCCGTCGTAATGGTTCAATTTGATACGCTTTAGCCCGGAACAACGGACCATATTTTCATCAATAACCACTTCTTCTTCACCAGCTTTCAATGGGCCACTAACAAATTGTCGACAACGATGAAGATACAAAAAAAATTAGCCCGAATAAATTCATGAACAAAAAAATAATCGTTTTCATCAAGAGATAACAATATCGAATATCAAATATGGATAATCATTTTTTGTCAGTTGTTTTATTGTTCGAACATGTATATTACCGAATGTCATTACAGTGGCATTGTTCCCATTAACTATACACTTTTAATTCTATTACCATTGTTGATGGGCTTTGTGCAGAGCGCACGGTGAAAGCGGAAGAATGAAAAATTGTGTTAAATGTTCCAATAATAATCATTTTCGATTGTCCGTTTGCCGTTCGGTTGTTCCATTGACATATTCATTAAATTGCATTCCCATAGACGATGACAAGCACACAAAATGCGCTATTTGAAAATAATACCAAATTATCTCGAATGTAAACAGCTGAAGGCATAACGCTTAACCGACTGAAGAAAAAAAAACTGCTATGTAATCATAATTGATAGACTCAAGCACATCGAAATATACAGTATTTGTCATTAACTTTCTCGTTTCGAGAGCCAGCCACTCTGTTCAATTATTCATCAAATCGGCAGTCAAACGCACACACACTTAAAAAGGAACCACAAAAATGATACAGTTATTCATTGGATTATGTAAAAAAAACGAAGCGGAGAGAGAGAAAATTAAATGAAATCATGTACAGGATTATTTAACGGTGTATTTGAATGTCATTAAAAGCAATATAATCACATAATTTAGCCTATTTGCACCACACGCTCCCTCTTCGCTTCCCATGAAAGCTGCTTGCTCCTGTATTTAATCGAGTCTAAATGGCATCTTCTCTCTCACTCTCCGTCCGTAAAAAAATACCAGGGAATAAAATGTGAAAATTGTCGTTAAAACTGCCGCACTCAACATGACAATGCATAAGACAAGTTCATTGAGAAAAAAAAAACACTGAAAGAGAGAAAAATGAGTAAATAGAAACTTTGAATATTGAATAAACAATGTTGAACAATGGCAAAAATCAACTTTCGAAAGCGAAAGGAAAAAACAGCCCCCAGTCACATTAGTAAACCATACAATCGTAATTATTTCAATGTGAAGTGGAACCGTTTTTTTCTATCCGCAACTATTCAATATTTCTGCAATGTCATCCGACGCATAATCAATAACTATTTTCACATAAACATTTAAGGGTGACTCTGTGCGGCATGCCATTCTCTCTCACTCTCTTTTATTTTTATTTTACACACACAAAAAAAACCATGCTGTGTGTATTATTAAGAGTGTTTAATGGGCATTTGGTCCCTTTGGCAATGTGCGTGCCTTTTTAATTACTTTTGAATTCTTTTATTACAACAATTCACGGATCTTTGTATGCATTTTTTTCTCATTTTCTCTTTTATGTAAAAAATTCCAGGTGGCAAAGATGATGACGGTGGCAGTATTAAAAGTGGCTTAGGAAGTCTATCGGGATCATCTGGATTGAGCAAAAAACAACGAAAAGCCCGAACAGCGTTCACCGATCATCAGCTACAAACGCTCGAAAAATCATTCGAACGACAAAAATATCTAAGTGTTCAGGATCGCATGGAATTAGCGAATAAATTAGGCTTAAGCGACACACAAGTGAAGACATGGTATCAGAATCGAAGGTGAGTCTCTTTTCCTTTTTCATCTTTTCTTTCTTTTTATCTCCGATTTATTTGCTTTCATCGTGTTTCCAATTTGAATTGAGATGTTACAAAAGACCGTATCGGTAGAGCCATCATCATTTCACAAAATCACGCACGCTAACAAGCAATCTGCGCGAGAGCAGAACAAACAGAGTAATTTGCGAAAATGATGGAAAAAAGCATCAAACGCACACACATACAATGTAAGATAAATAAATTTAGAGTGAACCGCGTTGAAAATCGAAATTGTGTGGTGAATCATTTTGGCTTCTGTTGTGGTCACGCGCAAAAAACCGACGAAGAATTGCGCCATGCTTGCGGAATAAAAACTAGTGTCAGAAGCTGCTGAAGAAACAGTAAAAAAACCTCACACAAACAAATTCAGTGGAAAAAAACACATAATAATCATTTTGAAAATTGAAAATAAGAAAAAACAATCATATGAAACATTTTATTTCATTTGGCGAAAGATGCAAAATTCAAAGCCAATTCCAATAAATCATGTGGCGGCTGTCAACAATTTGCCATGCAATGCAAATATAACGAAGTGAAGAAGAAATAATGCCAGCGCACAAAACCAGCCAATTCGTGGTTGGTAGCCGTTTTAATATTAAAATCAACATCAAGAAACAATTGAACAACTATGAAACATAGGGAACATTCGAAACGAATGGAATGAAAAAAAAGCAGTAGCAAAACAGTCGTCGCATGGTTCACCATAAATTCCAAATAAACGATGATACTCTCAAAGCACAGCAAATGAGCTGCTGCTGTTACATGATTTACCCATGTTTATTGACTTCTCACACTCGATGACGCGAATTTTTTTGTCCTCCTTTTCTGCCGGGGCACGGCAACCGAGGAGAGTGAGAGAAAGTCAACAAACGCACACACTCACACTCGGATACGATGGTGATGATATATATAGAAAGATTTGCACGCTCTCAAAACACTCGATGATTGCCACTTAAACACTCGACCGTTGAGTCGAATGCTACCCTGCTGATGCAGCTACTAGTCGACAAACAGTTAAAATGTTGTAAAAAGAACATTGAATGAACGGGCGCATCAAGTATGACTACTTGAGCGAGTGAAAAAGAGCAACAGAATAACAACGGCAACAAACAAACAAACAACAAAAAAAGCAATATTATGATTTATGGTGGTTTCTTTAGTTTTGGTCGGATTTTTACTCTTTGCCAAGCCATTGTGAGTGTCTCTCTCTGTGTGTGTGTATTACGATGTGAATCGGATTTTATGTTGCCGTTGTACTGCTGTGCAAAACGCTTTTTAAAAAACGATATCATTTCTAAATGGATATATTTGGAAAATCGTTTCGGAATGGCATTTAAAATTCGTCATACAAAACGAAATGGAACCCATAAAATATATCAGATTTGGCGTATACAATGTCTGCACGAGCTCAACATGCAATAAAACAAACAAGAGTCTAATTCAAGCCAATGCCCCGACAATAGCACAGCAACGGCGCAAGAAAAAAAAGAAAGCGAATCATAAAGTTGTACCCCGACATTGAATGGATAAAAAGGAGTTTAAATAATAACGATATCTCTATTTTGTTCATTCATATTTTTTTTTTGGTTGAACGCGAGCAAATGGCTTCATTTGCATATACAAACTATTTCATTCATCATTCAATTTACAATAAATCAATTCATTAGTAAGCTCAAAATGAAAATTAAATTACTGTAATTATTCTCATGTATCGGGTTGAAAGTGGCATTTCGGGATTTCGGGCACATCCTTCTCATTTCTCTTTGTGTGTGCGCGAGACATTCTTTTTCGGCGATTCTAAATATGATTTGCATGTTTTTATTTCATATCTTTATTATTATATCCACTGTGTGTGTATGCAAATTACAAATCATGCAGCCAATAAAATTCCTATTATAATCGTTGTGGCATAGACAACACGCATCGCTGGTGACGATGTGCTAATAAATCCATTTGGAATAGAAAACCAAACACACATTTTCATAATTGTTCGGCGCGTTTTATTGTGCCGTTGTGGTTCATTTGTATAAATTATTAACACTTTGGTGAATTTGCTATTTTGATGCAGCACGTTCGTGAGCGGTAAACATGGATACTCAAAAGTCGACACAGGGTTTTTTTTATTTGTATAAAAAAAACCAATATGAATTTGATTGTTTTTCTCTTCGTCGTCTGTGTGTGTAATAATTCCAGAGGAAACGTTGATGATGGCGATTAAAATTATCTTTATTGTTATTTTCCATTTGCAAACACATGCTCTCTTCCCAATATTATGAATCCCTTTATAAAAACCGATTTTTATAGTTTCGTTTAAAATTCACACCTTTTGATATTATTAATGTATCGTCAATTTTGCCCCGATGCATTCGATTAAAAGGGCGTCCATTTTTAATTCGATCTTTTTTCGGCCGAAAATTGAATTTGATTTAAAATATTTCCAGTTTTTTTTTGTTGCCATTTGCATAATTGAGACACAAACAAATCTCATAATTATATGAGAAAAATCAATTCGAATATCGAAAAACCTTTTATTTCATTAGTTTTTAATGGGATGGATATTTTAAAAATACGACGTCATCTTCGTAAATGTGGCGATTTCGATAAATGTTTCAATCTTCCAGCTTAAGAATCTGACTTCGGTTACTTGAATCAAACCGTTTTGCAACCGTTTAAAATGAAATCTTTCATGAATTACGTAATCAATTTCGATTTTTTTGTTATTAGCGGTAGCACAAACAAAAACAAGCGACCAAAAAAAAGTAGCGCTTCGAAATTAATTGATTTGTATTCAATTGAAGAATGAACGCTCCAAAGAAATGAGATGAGCTAATCTTTTTCATTTCAAGTTTTTCGGGTGTGCAAAGGTTACCTTGATGTTATTTTATTACAACAAAAAGCGCTCAGAAAAAAAAACGTCCACAAATACGCCTATAATTCATGACAATACGTTCGTGTTTCTCTTTCGTGCTCACTTGCCACTTGGAAAAACTTCGGTGTGTTGCGATTGTGTTCGATTTTATGCGCGCCTTTTCATTCAATTAAAAACTATTAGTTAATTATCGGTGGACTTTTTTTTCTCTCTCTCCATCTCTTCATCCATTGATTTCAAATTGGAACTTGTCCAATTAGGTTGGATGTTAGTTTCGAAGGGCGCCAATTACATCCGCATTGTGTGTATTTGGGGAAAAAAACTATGGCACCCATAAAACTATGCGGCATATTTTAATGAACCGAAAGTTATTGATCATATCGAATGCAATGAGTGAAAAGAGTGGGCAATGGTACGGGTTAATCGCTTTAAACATCATACCATATATTTTAGCTAAACTTTTCGTTTACATTGTATATAATTTGTCCATGAGCTCAGTACCTGCGCTTACATTTTTTTTGTTCTCTCTCGGTCAAAAAAATTAATATTTCAGTTTTGTGCCCCGTAATTATATGGATTTGAAAAAAGCAGTATTTGCTCCATCGAAATTACTAATAGATCCTATTAGTAGTAACATTTATACTTTGAACATGTACATGGGTTCTTTTTTCAGTTATTTTACATTTTTCACTCTACTTTTGAACCGTAGAGAGGCCAAAATCTCTTTTGTGATTACAATCGAAAATTGACCACTTATTTAACAATGCACACAGAGGAGCGAGAGAGAAAGCCGATAATTGTATTCAACTCGATTTGGCCATATTCTCATACCATCTTCGAATAATCATGTAATCATTTTTCCACAATTCAAAACCAATACTTGATTCGTGTTTTATCGCTGTCGTACTATATAATCATTCATTTAATAGCTCATTGAAGCCAAAGTTTAATAAAAAAAAAACAGCAACCGACATCCATTTTATTAGGCGAAGATGAGCACACAGTTTTGCAGCCATAAAGTGAAGAAAGAGTGAAAATCCAACGATTTCCAATAAAACCGATTCAGAAGCGAAAAAGTGATATATAACATGCCGACAAACACTGATCAGACATCGTCGGCACATACCGCAAACAGAAGCTCAAACATTTCATATTTCGTTACAGCGGTGCGCGGTTCGGTTGTTTTTTCTTAATTCACTCTCGCATCTCCAACTACGAGCTACCGATAATTGTTTCATACTTTCAACTACTCATTGGATACGAATCAAAATGCAAAGTAATCGCTGGCAATTGATCGAATATATATGTGGATAAAAGGGTGAAGAGAAAAATTGATTGTTTAAGGTTACACCAAAATGAATACAGCAAAAAAAAAATTCGTCTGCATTTTTTTCCTCTCTTCGTATCGTCAAGACGAATCATTTGATTAGTACTCAAATTTTTCGGAACGAAACAAATGTTAAAAGTAAATAATCGATTTTAATGAGCAACAAAAACAAGATTCGCTTACTCTCTTTCACATGTATTATTTTCAAATAATCTTGATCATCATGCGTATTGTTAACTAAAATGCAGCAAGCATCGCTCTCTCATCCTTCTGGTGTTTCTGTTTGGTGCTGCTGTTGTTACTACTTATTTCCACTGCTTTTTCTGCCAAGTCATTTTGAAGTGTTTTTTTTCTCTGTGAGTCTGCTTTGACTGTTTTTTTTTGTTTCAATACATCGAATGAGCACAAATCAATCGATAATCTCTTTTCAATGGGATAAAATAAATAAAAAAATGGTGATTTTCTATTATTTTCATGTCGGATTTTAAGCGCTTTCTTTTCTTAACATTGTTTATACAATTTCGATCGAGTTATGTGTGTTAATACACAGTGACGCGACACGATCTCGCCTCTCTTCCTCCATTGTGTTAATCATTTAGAAAAACAACAGAAAATTCGTCAAAAATTTGAAATAGATCATCATTGAATTTCTTTTGATATCCCTTCTCGCTCGACCGTTTCATTATTATTATTATTCTTTGACTGTTCGGTTCATTCTTTTCGATTTTGTCTGTATTTATGTGCAATCATTTTTCATTGAGTTTTCGACGGACTGATGCCGTCGACTTTGTGTATCCTTTTGTTCTTTGCGCCACGGTAAATTATAGTTAAAACAACAAACTATTCATCACACCTCTTTAGTGTATATCATTGGTATTTGCGCCACAAAACAATCTTCATTATCATTGCGACTATTCAGATCGTGATCAATATGTGCTGAGCCCTGTGCACAGGGCTTGGGAAAATTATTAACTGGAGCCGATCCGCTTCGAAACCAGCCAAATCTAGACCAATGATATGTCTCGGCATGATACCTTTTTGCTCTAATTGCATTTTAACAGGATTACATTTTTTTTCTCTACATTTTCGAATAATTTCGACCAATGCAACTCTCTCTCTGTTCAGACAGAAAAGAGAGAGAAAAAGGTTTGCGCGCTTGATCAACGTTTAGTCTGTGTTTGGTTTTAAAACTCTCAAGTACACTAAGCCGGTAATTTTTTTTTGTTTTTCTCACTGGGATACCAAGTGGTCAGAAATCGGCAAAAAAATACTATGGTTGGACAAAAGCAGTAGAAAAAAGGAAAAACGACCACTTTCATTGAAGTTTTTTTTTGCCCTAAGCGTATAATTATGTGAATTTTTTGACAATTTGTTGCCAATATGTTGGCAAGAAATATGCTATTTGTTAAGTCATTTATTTATATTTGATGGAAGAAAATGTGTTCGGTTCGACCCTCACCGTCGTCGTCTCACATACGCAAGACAAGAAAATTGCAAATAGAACTTTTGCACAGAGCAGTTTTTTCTTTCTATATGTGGTACTCACAGCATGAATGAGAAAGATCCGATAAACGGATTGTGTAAAGTGGTATTTAGAGCGCATCTTGTTTTATCTTTTCATGTTCCAATTATTCATTTTGTAAAAGTTTAAACGGCAATCTAAGGGATGATGAAGAGAAATTATCCTATAGAAGGTTGGCGGATAAGGCAGACAGCAAAATGTAGACGGCATATAGTATACATACCCTTTGCGCGCATACATTCTCTCAATGCCTCAAAACGGTCGGCAATCGAATAAATAAAATATTGGTGTTGGTTTATTTATTAATTATGGTATTTAATTACCGCAATCTGTTCTCTTTTATCCATTGAATGATGCGGCCGCAATGTGGCGGCTCTTATGCTTTTGTGTATGTGTGCTAAGAGCTATTTAGCTGTGGATGGGCGCGTACACTGTATAGAACAGAGAAAACTGCTGATTCAATATCCGGCGCCATGCTTTGCAACCAAAACACTCAATTTAAGTTTGTTTAAATTATATTTCTCTTTCTTCCTCCTTCCTCTTCGTTCTCTATCGCCTAATGCCTCTTTTTTGTTTATGTAAGAGATATTTCACAACCCCCGAAAAATTCATTCATTCGCATTGCTACGTTGTATGAGCAAATGGGATGTGCTTTATTCATTTTATCGAAATTTAAAGACTGGCGCCCGTCGTCAGTTTTTGGTTTTTCTTTTTCTTTTCCATTTTGATTGTATGTGGGCGCTCTTTCTTTCTCTCTGATTGCCAAAACAAACTCGTAAACTATTCACTATTCCGTGTATATATTCGGTTGCAATCCAATTTTCATTCAGCCTCTGTGCCATGCCTTGAAACTTTTTGTCGGATACAACACATAGATTATTTATTAGATTGTTTGGATTGAAGTTTTCCCTTGATTTTGCCACCCCATTTTGCGACAATGAACAATTTAAACTTTCACTTCATATTGAATACACATTGAAAAATTTTCAACTAACACCCAACAACCGTTGCCGTTGGATGGCTATAAAAACAAAGCCTTTTCACGGAAACTCACATAAAATGAAAATCCACAGAAAGTTGACTTAATCAAACAGCTTAATTGGCTTTCGTGTTCGCTAATACATTTTGCACAAATGCTTTCATGTGAAATGCAATCAAACCCACAAAGAACAACAACAACAAATGTCGACAAGCACTAAAAATTTAACATACACAAACAGTACAATTTTTTTTTGTTATTTCTAATCTAGAAAATTCACGGCATGTTTTGTCGTGTTACACTGTGACCATTTTCCACGCCATAATTCATATTGTGGTGACCGAATCGCCACCACTTAGTCATCTGGGTGCGCGACCACTTAAATGCAGTTAATCAATATAAGTATGCAAAAACTAGATTTATTTTCTTTGCTTTAGAACTTGGAATGGAGGTAGAAAGTGTCAAACCAAGTGGATATCATGAAGAGAATCTATTAAGCATGACTTATTGTTCAAATGGCAATCAAATCAACGTGCATTTTTAGCGCATTATTTTTTACTTTTCTGTTGTTTTCTTTTTGAATTTTCCACCATTTTTTTAACTTTTTAAATAAAAATGCATGAAAAAAAATTAGTTCTATATTTGACCATTTACAGTTTCCTTGTAACATTTAACTGTGTCGATAATTTTATACTTAATTCATGTCCTAGTTTCAATGGCCGTTTAAATTGTGGAAATTGTACGAAATGGATGAAAAAATAGAGTGTGCGGTGTATGCAAATTATTTGTTGGTGTTCGTTCGGTTCACATGCAATTCGGCAGCTTGGCGTACACACAATACACCAACGCAAATTAACGGAACCATCTGTAATGTTTTGAAATCATCGAAAATGGTGTTTGAACTACTGCCATGCATGTAAAACCGGGCGAAAATATAATAGGAATGAACGGAAAGTCGTAACATATACTTGGATTCGCCGAAAAAAACCCACCGTTTCTTCGTTTACAAGCTAACTAAACTAAGCAACAACAATCGCAAAATATAATCCGAATGAAAATCCAATGTTAAACAATAATTGGCCTATAATTTGGTAAAAACACGTAAATGCTATGAGAATTAAACGATTGCAAATGTGCGTTTATGCATTTTCGTGTTCATTTGTCTTTTCGGCTGAAGTGCGCGGTCGAATGGTGTGCGGGAGCGATGTGGTGGCGATTTATCGCTGTTTGATCTTATTCGCTTTTCAATCCATCATTATATGGCATGCAAAGCGAAAGAAAGAGCCAAGAACAGAATGAAGACAAAGAAAAAAGAACTATGCTTAATTTTTGTTTTCTTTCTTTTGCCAGCACAATCGATGAATAACCACCATTCATTGTTGTGGCATTGACGGAAAACTATTACGTAAAAGACTTGAGCGTTGAACAGCAAACGAACATGAGAAAGAGCAGCAACAACAACAACAACAAAAATTCGCGATAAAATGAGCAAATAAGCCGACATTGGTTGTTGGCCAAGTGTGGGTACATAATTTGTTTGTGTGTGCGTGCATGAGAGACAGGGAGTGAGAGATAGAGACTGTTTGGAAATGGTAAATGTTTGGAGCCGCCTCAAATAAACGTTTCCGTAATTATACATATCGTATATTGTCTGTTGTTGCTGGACGGACTGGCATTTTGTGTTGTACACAGTTTTGGAGTTTTTATTTGCAAAATTGCTCGCCATACGCGATGTTATGCATTAAATAACCGTTCGATAAAAGTATGTCGGCAATCAGCAGTGACGGTTGTACCGCTTTCGGCTGATGCATCCAATAACTTAACCATATATCCATCATTGGAAAATTTGCGTTTTGATTTTTATCGCACAAATCTTATTCCGGGCGCAAATTTACGATTGTCCATATTTTTATTACCATTAACCAAATGTGCACAATTTTGCATTTTAAATGGTTAAATTGCATTGAATGTTGTGAAGCGCCTGAATAAAAGCAGCACCAACCATGGCTGGTAACGAACGATTTAATGCAACTGTGTTTTGTAATTGCTGCTTACGAAAAATGGTTGAACCGTATGAAAACTACGATTTATTCGTGATGATGATTTAACGTCCCCAAGCGATCATGATTTTTCGTTTTCCACTATTCAGGCGCTCGCGCCCATTTGCAAATGCTTTCCAAATGCATTAAGTGCAATTTCATCCAGTACAAAATTGTAAAATTGTAAACGACGATAATTGCACATTTCTTTCATCGCGTTTGTTGTGTGTTGCAAACAGCATACAGATTTTATTAGAGCATTATTCCAAACCAAATCGAAGTTTAATTAACGTTTGCCATCTTTTTTTGTTGCCTTTACAGAACAAAATGGAAACGACAAACTGCTGTTGGACTCGAACTTTTGGCCGAAGCTGGTGAGTTTTTACTACCTTGTATTTATATCGATAAGAATAGTATAAATAAATTCTACGAAATTGTAAAAGTTTTTATTATGCCCTTACATTATTTATACAGAATAAAAACTAAGTTTCTATTATTTTTCCAATGAAATTAATCAAAATGAGTGCAAATGTTCAATTTAGAGAAAAAAAAATAAATTTACGATTTTTTTCCTGTAGGTAATTATGCCGCATTCCAAAGATTGTATGGTGGTCCGCCTTATATTGGTGCATGGCCCTATGCCGCTGCCGGTCAAGGTCCCTCAGCAGCACCGCCGTCCGCAGCAGATTTATACTATAGACAAGCAGCGGCAGCCGCTGCATTACAAAAACCGCTACCATATCGTTTGTATCCGGGAATGCCGACGCTTGGCTCATTGGGAGGCATTCCGGCACCGGCAGCACCATTTTCCCATTTATCGGCATCAAGTTCACTATCGTCGCTCAGCAACTACTATCAAAATTCGGCAAATAATAGCTTAAATGGTTCGGCCGCCAACGGTAACACCACAAATGGTGGTAGCAGTGATCATTCGCCAAGAAGAACACCGAGCCCACCACTCAATCCAGGCAGCCCGCCAGCTCGACGCGCTCAAAGCATACCACCCAGTGACGATGAAGACAGCACCATCAACGTTTAAGTACATGAACGTTTCATTTTTATTTCATTCTAATCTCTTTGGTTCTCACTTCCCCCCAAATGCTTAACAAATGAATTAACTACATCCTCCTTTAAGCTAATCTATTCAGTTCAAACATGGTTTGAATCGAATTTTATTTAGTGGTTTTTTTTTGTAATTTTATTTTATAACAAGTGCTGTTAGTTTTCGTTCATTCATTAAAATGATACACACACACAACAAGTTTTGATTGTAATTGTTTATTTTCTTCAATATATAAAAATGAAAGTAGCTAAAGTAAGGAGAATTTCTATGATTTTATCGTAGGTTTAATGTTCAAATCAATATGAAACACACACACACATTCGAAGTAAGTGAGGAAATTTGCAAAAATTCTATAAAATTCATTTATTTTAATCAAGAGAATACTCGGGATTTTCTGCATTTTTTTCTTTTTTCTCGGCAAATATTTCACTTTTCAGCAACAATTCAAACGGTTAAATCTTTATTAAAACAATTTGTATAAATTTGTGTTGTAAATAAGATCCGGAACGAACATTTTTGTATAAACGACGATTCGAACAAAATCATTGTTCACCATCCCGTTTGGCAATGTTCACTCCAAAAACTGGATCTAAATATTGTAGTTGTTTAGATGTTATAATAGATTTAAGTTAATTACCCAAGACAAAATCAATGAAAAAATGATTCTCCTTTCAAAAACTGAACACATTCCAGATATTTCAATGAATATTATTTACAATTTAATGTGTAGGTTTAGGAACAAAATACAAAATAACCTTATTTCCACGGTTCTGGTGAATGAACACGCCAAAAAATCTATAGATTCCATTCATTCAGATCCCACACAAAAAAAATCTTCATAGCATTATTTTCTTCTGCCCATTTTTGCAAATGATTGGTTTTTAAAAAAAATATGACTAAGAAACTATAATTGAAAAAAAAAATCGATGTTGAATATATCAATCTAAATGTATGTAATGTATATTATTTAAAGGATTTGTTTCAGTACGAGGAGATTTGTGATGTTTTCTGATTCAAATCTTCAACATTCAATGATGCGATCTGAAAAAATCTATTTCATTAAAAAAATCTTGAATTTTCTGCTTGATTTCGAAAGATTTTTCGGATGAAATCAGAGAACGTCACAAAAAAGTCTCGCTCGAAATAGAAATGGCAGTGAAAACCGCTTGAAAGAAATTAAAAAAAAATCTGGAAGAGGAAGCGATATTGATGTATTACTATAAAATTCAAATTACTATGGAAATTCATAATTATTATGGAATATTGATAAACTTAATTGAAAAAAACGTAAAAGAAAAATAAATATGCATACACATACAGATATTAGCTCTTAAAATAACACACTTTACAAAGAAAAATTATAAATTATTATTACAATTATGAAATAAAGCAAAACAAAAATTACATGATAGTAAAAAAAAGATGTGAAGCGAGTTTTATTTCGATTATTTGTGAATTATTCAGGTGGATGTGGTTTCGTTGTGCGCTGGTTATAATCTGCTTGGGAACTAATGAGGTGACAGCTCAATGTTTTGGCATTTAAGTAAGTATGCTTGATTTCCGTCAGTGATTTGTTCGCTCGTATACACTCACCCAATGCACTGTGTATATGCGCCGATCTTCTCAAGGAACCATTAAACTGTGCTGCAGAGTGCAAACCATGAATTAGCATTCGTTTACATCTGATCAGATTTGCAATGCATACAAAACAGCAGCAGCACCAACAACGGTAGAAAGAAGAAAAAATGCATGACGATAGAAGAAAGAGTAGAAAAGCGATAATGCAAAAATTAAGAGCCCAAGTCCCGCGAGCCTTCGATTCACGTTCGAATCTGAACAAAAAAAACTCTCTTTGTTTAAATAATTACCGATTACCCGATTACCGTTGATTGGAATAATTTTCAGCAACCAACGAACGATTGCAAAGATTTTAATCTAATCTACGAGCTTTTGTTTAAGCAAATCCGTTTCAATTAAAACCGCTATTAAATACATTGGATATATATATGCAATAAATAGTGTTCATGACTCTCTATTTGCTCTCTGTCTCTCTGTGTGTTGAGCTCTGTCTCTCTTTGTCGCTTCGTCTTTTTTCGCTCACTTTACGTATTGGATGTGGCGAGCACGTAATCGCACACTTGTAATCGCAGGATGAACTGCTGGTTCAATGAGATTTTGCATGACAAACAACAATTAAATGCAATAAACTTTGGATTAGATTTTTTATGTATGTAAAAGTTGTATATACATCACATCCAATTGGCAATTTGAACAAACTTGAAACAACGTACACATAATAAAAAAAGTACGCATTTATAATTTGAAGGAACGAAAATTTAAACGACCTATTCCTATCGACGAACGAGAATGAAAGAGAGCAAAATCGCACTGAATTGTGTGCGGAGTAAAAAGGTAAGAGAAAAAAAATTAAACTTAAAGGTAATTAAATCGCTAATAATGTGCTTGGTTGCTGCTATCATTGTGATTGTTGATTTGCCGTGCCGCAACTGCATTCGGCATGCTATCGTTTTTATTGGGTCTTTTTGTTTTTACAACGGTCGAAGCCGAGAGGATGAGATAATATGGAAAGGAGGCGACACAAAAAAAAAACCGGGTTTCAATTGGCAAAACAACGGAACAATGTATACACAACATACACTAAATGAATCGAATTTGAAAAATGTTATTGCATTCGGGCTTCCTGAACTTTTTTACATTTTTCCGCTTAAATTACATAATCGCAGCGACATAAAACCAAATCAACGATTGCCGCAACGGAACGTTTCGCACTCAACGAAGTTACCTTCTTTTTTTCTTCATTTTGTTCATTCGTTTGTGCTGAAAGCTGAGATGCACACGAAACCAATTCGCGAGCAATTGAAACAGTAGAAAAAGAGGCGGTTTATTTTGATTGCGACTTGAAATTCCTGTTATGCTCGATACGCTCGATCGTATTGAAGGCAGAGAGAGAGAGAGAGAGAAATCAAAATCGGTTACATCACTACCCAATTTTCATCAGTTTTGTGATGTGATCGATTAAAATGATTTCACGAAATCAATTTGTTGTGCTATTGCATATCGACGATTTTCGATCGATCAAGCGAAACGACCCAATCTGTTTGATTTGGTTTGTTTGCAATGCTCGATGGTTTTTATATCATCTCTTCTTTTCCAGCCGCACCTTTTTCTCATTCGGAATCGTGGTTGAAAAATGATGATGCACCAGAAAACCGCAATATCATTTTGTTTGCGGAAGATGCTTGGCGCCACTCGCTCTTTCGACATATTATTATCACACAAATCTGATTTAGAAGAAAAACCGATTTTCTCGCCTTCGAAATTCACTGTGATCGAATTCATTGTGTTTCGAATAAAAAAAAACCAACAACCACGAAACTCGGGTGGAAAATTTTCTTTTTTCGGACGAAGGGTGCAATCTGAACCAATTAAAATTCAATTATTAACTTGCATTTTGTTTCGTTGCGGTTATTGAGGTCGAATCGGTTGTCGATTGATGAATAGTTGCATTTGTCAAATGTCCTCGAATTAAAATTCGATTGAATACAATCGGTACAACCCTCTCTGTTTTTTTTACTACGAGGCCAATGTGTCATTCTATTGTTTTCCACTTCAATAAAAGAAAATGATATAGTTTCATCGGCCCAATTGTTGAACTGTGAAAATGTGATGGATTTTAAATTGGAGTGTCACCTGTTTATGATCTTTTCATCATTGTTCTTCTGTTCATTTGTGGCCGGTCGAAATCAAATCACAAAGGGATGATGACAAAACACTAACAATACACTTCAATTTTGCGGGTGAATCGGAATATCAATCGCTGTCCGTAAACAAAAGGAACAAAAATCGGTGCCCTACACAACAACGTTGTGATTCTATTGATTTGTGATCGGAACGTAATGCGGCCTTTAATTTTATCCAAAGATGTGCTCGTAACATATGCACATATACACACACAATGGCCACCAACAATAGAACATGAAAATACAAATGGAATTAATTACAACGGTTAATTATAATTTTTTTGTGATTTAAATTTCAATGAATGAAAATGATATTTCGTGAACCTTCAGCGATGGCAAGTGCCATTTGAAATCACATTTTGAATGTTGTCTAATGATTATAATCACAGGGCAAAAAAATATGAAGAAAAAGCACCACACGATCATGTATTATAATTATCCGCAGTGACATGAGTTCGAATTCCCAACGTTTGAAACAAAATATTATTATTAAATCATGTTTTTAACACGAGCGATTCGTGAATTGAATGCCGCTTCCGGTCAAAGTGTTGCATTTCGATACTTAACTGATTTTCATTCGGTTCAGTGACAAATATACATGAATATTTAAAATTCAAAACTTCAAAGATATCAAATGAATTCGTCAGGTATATTTCGACGAAACAATGCAATGTGTTTTTTTTATGATTGAAAATAAATGTGTCACGTTCATAGCATAAATTGGTACTCAACCTTAACACCGGGTCAGATCACACATAAATGGATACCTACTTTTTTCTGAACATCATTTACGATGATTGTCTCTAGTTTTTCTGCTCAATGATTTTGTATTCAGATTTGTTTCCCATGATAATATTCAATATCGCACTTTTCGTTCTCCATATCTTTTTGTCTCGGTCAGTCGATGGCTTTGCTATTGCAATATTGAATCAGGTTGCTAAAAGTCGAATGCGATTTCGTTTCGCCACTTTATTTCTTCACCTCTCTTCTTCACATTTGAACTCATAACCCCAAACAAGTGTTTACATATAAATCATTGTTTAACGTGTCGAATGAAAGAATAAAAAAAATCCATACACGAACATGATGGAAGAAGAATTGGCAACATGCGTATCGAATTTTATTTATTTTCTTCACCCAAATCGGTTCATCATTACATTTTATGTAGTCCAAAGCAAATATTGAATCTTGAGCAAATTTCTCTCTTTCTCCCTCTCTCTCTATCTCTCTCTCTCTCTCTTCTTGTGAATGAGAAAAACTGCGTTTGGTAAGATGAGCATGACTTTTTTCGGCCTGTTTTATCGAGTGAAGACATTGATACTGCATCATCATCAAATATGCATGGCGTTATCAACACCGTTCAAAAGCTATCCGATTTCCTTTTTTTGCGCTCATAAAAGTGCTGATTTACAAGTAAAACTCGATGACATACTGACCGCGCCAACATTATTCAATTTTGGTGGTCCTGTCACTCGGTATTGATGTTTTATTAGCAATATCAGGCATCAACTTTTATACGTGTAACTGATTCACTCATGAAACGAAAAACGGAATACCGTATGTTTGTTCATACTTGGTTCTTTGCGCATCATCTGCATTTTCACCGTGTCTTCTATAATAGAGCAAAACACTAATGGCTGTGAATAGAAGTTCAATCTCTTTGTACATCTTTGAAGTTTTTATTTATAAAACGGAACGTTAATAATCCATTCCAGTTATGAACGATGATTGTGATTTGATTCATAATGCAACGCGACAACCATGTAAAATAACAAAATTCAAAGCACAACGTTGATTGATCGCATTCATATACATTTACAAGGGGTCGTGTTATATCAATTTCCTCGTTCTAAATTTCTGCTCAAATGTATATGAAACAAAATCACTAAAGAATGAAATGTAAAAAAAGTGTGTTATATAACAAGAATTCGCAACACATGGAACTGGAATACAGGTTTTTCTTTATAATCGCGATTTTTTACAGCATGATGAGTGTGTACGACTGAAATTGTGCTAAAGTGGAACCTTTGAAAGAATGGATGAATGTAAAGAACTTTGAACAGAGATGAAAATTAAAAAGAATTTTCTCATTTCAATAGCTATATCCAACTATTTTTTTGTATTTTAGACAATAAATTATCAAATATTAATCAAATTTTCTTCCTTATGGTCACAGAAGGTATGTATTATAATATTCGATAATTATGATTGGCTTTGAAATTTTGTGATGATATTCCAGTGATTTCAAAGCCCTGGTATGAAATCTATTCTGTGTTTAAAATAGATTTAAATTCATGTTTGTCTCACGTTCAATAAACAAAGTTGTTCATTTCAATAAACAAAGCTATTATATTCGCAAGACTGATTACATCTGCTGCAGAGAGGGAGAGAGAGAGAGAGGAGATGCTTATATATATGTTTTATTTTAAACCACAAATTCTCAATTTTCATAGTAAACGGTGTTTGTTTAAATTGACATTTAGCAAATGACTTTGATTATTCCATTGACTGCTCGTTGAAATTAACCTGGAGATTTTGGTTTCTAAGAAAATGAATACGTTCATGGATCTGCATATAGATGTGGTT